AGCCCGGCCCCTGCCGCTCGCTGACCCCGCCCCAATGCGATGTAGTGCTCCTGTGACAAATAGACAACATAGAAAAATGGGAGAGGATATTTTTCTTCATCACTAGGTTGTAAACACCAGATCACAGGGAAATTATTCACTTCGGTGTCTAGGGGGAAGAGTCAGGGAAATAGCAGTTAGTATAAAAACAACAATTAGTATAAACAATACATTAATATATCAGTTTAATAATTGCCTGTTATCATCGGTCGCATCCGACTCATAGTGACTCTACAGGATAGAGCAGAAATGCTCCATAGGATTTCCAAGGCTGTAAATCTTTAAGGAAGCGATTGTTGCATCTTTCTCCTTAAGAGCGGCTGGTGGGTTCGAATATCCCATCTTTTGGTTAGCAACGGAGTACTTAAGCACTGTGCCACCAGGGCTCCTTGATTTAATAATTACTATTGCTAATTAGGGAACCCCGGTGGCATAGTGGTTAAGAGCTTCGGCGGCTGCTCAAAAGGTAAGCAGTTCTAATCTACCAGGCACTCCTTGGAAACTCTATGGGGCAGTTCTGCCGTGTCCTGTAGGGTCGCTATGAGTGAGAATTGACTGGAGGGGAACGGGTTTGGTTTTTTATTCTTAATTAAAAGGAGCCCTCCTGGCGCAGTGGTTAACTTGGCTGCTAACCGAAAGGTCAAACCTACTAGCCTCAGCGGGAGAAAGATGTGGCAGTCTGCTTCTGTGAAAATTGTTGTTGTTAGGCGCCATGGAATAGTTTCTAACTCATACTGTTGCCAGGAACTCCGGCCTCTGCTCAGGGTAACTCCATCAGGGCCAAAGAGACAGAAACCGAATTGGGGAGAAGGAAAGGCGACTTTATGGGTTAGCCAAGCAGAGAGACAGATGGGACTGCATGCCATCCAAGACTGCTTCGCAGGCCTTGCTGAGGCTGGTTTATACAGGTAGGATCAGTTTCGAAATACAAAATGGCATGCACACAGGCGCTGAGCTTTTAGAATGAGAAGCATTTTCCAAGGACCAGGTTCGAGTCCCCAGGCAGGAGGGACTTAGTCATTTTTATTCATCAGCGTGTCAGCTGTCCACTCAGGGGCGGGGAATTTACCATGCATGAAGCAGTTAATTAGCTAAAGTTCATCGGGAATGCCCTGAGGAAGGGTAGGCCCTGTTTCAGCCGGCTAGCCAGTGGCTGTTTAAGGAAGTTCTGAGGAGGAAAAGAAAGAACTCTAGGAAATAGGCTGGGTGAGGGACTGTCTTGAGGCTGAGAAAAATGGCTCTATACCTCTGTTGTTGTTGTTAGGTGCCATCGAGTCAGATTTGACTCATAGTGATCCTATAGGACAGGGTAGAACTGCCCCATAGGGTTTCCAAGGAGCGGCTGGTGGATTTGAACTGACGACCTTTTGGTTAGCAGCCGAGCTCTTAATCACTACGTCCCAAGGGCTCTAGCCCTGTCTTAATAGTGACCCCATGTACTACATTACATAAATTCCAAGGCTGTAATCCATAAGGATTAGGAATCGACTGGCTGGCAATGGGTTTGTTTTTGTGTGTATTGTTAATTAAGGGAGTCTCTGGGTAGCTCTAATGGTTAGGTCCCTGGTCCAGAGGCGCCTTGGAAAAAAAGCTTGGTGATCTATTTCCAAAAAATCAGCCCTGAAAACTCTATGGAGGGCAGTTCTACTCTGACACACACTGTGATCGCCATGAGTCAGAATCGACTGGAGGGCAACGGGTTTTTGGTTTATTGTTAATTAATGAATTATTGATTAAAAAACTTAGGCTTAAATAGCATTTTT